GATCAAAGATCAAAAGATCAATAGATCAAACGATCGGTCGGGGTACGTGATTCCTGGTGGGAAGCCTCAGTGAACCCCAAACACCAAGTAGCCGCTTCGCAACTACGACCGTTGTGGGACTTAAACCGTCACTCAACAGATTTGAGCCACGACTCCAAACACTTAGCCAAAATTCATGTCGATGTTGAAGGGGGTATGGCCAATACTTAGAAGCAAGTTCTGAGTGAAAACTATTGAAATTCACTCAGAAGGTTTGCTCAACAATACGAAAGTTGCATTGCACATTCTTCCTACCCAACATCCTTCGTGTGAATGTTTACTCACTCGTTTCGTATTTCTACTCAGTCGTTTCGTGTCTCCACTTACTCATTTCTGCGTACCATCACTCACTCAGTTCTTCGTATCGCCACTCAGTCACTCGATTGCATGCGAGTGCTCAAATTGGACACACTTGAGAAGCTTGGGGCCGTCTTTGCCGCAATCCGTGGTCCTGCCGCTGCTAATCACGTTGTCACAGTGGCTAGTCGGGTGTGATGTTTTGCTGGTCGGGTGTGGGTGCGTCGCTCTGCCTCCACCAGACACTATCACTCACCCTCACTGTTCTTAACCGGACCATCAGCCTAGCTCTGCTCTGGGTTCATGCCCCCATCCCACTTTTGGGTGCAGCCGAAGAGAAATCAGTCCTCAAAGTAGAGTCAGACTACTGGGTGGTGAGGTTGGATCAGAAGAATGGGTTCTGGGAGGCATCGAGGTGTTGCGGGACATGTTGATGTGCTGGAGTCGCTTAAGCAGGAACCAGGACATTCAAAAGCAACGCGTGGCTGAGAGAGCCCCTCCAATAACCTGCTATATTTGATTCCTCTGCTTTCCGCAAGTATTATTCTGAGAAATTTTGAATTCAGGCAAAATCCCACCCACCAATGATACCTAGAAGCGTTTAACAAACCTTCTGAAGGCTGGGTGAGTATTTTTTTTGACACCTTGAACAGTCGTTCAACTGCGTCTTCTGTGCGTCGTTGGGGGCATCTTCGTAAGATTTCCATCCGTCGCGTACTCGCATCTTCTTAGTCAGAGTAATCTTAAGCCATGTTTGACTCTCATCGAAAAGCGGTGATACCAGCTCGAGTGCCTTCCACCACGGAAGCGTGCAATTGAAGATCAAGTGCTAGTTGGTCTCCAAGGCATCACACCCGTCGCGAAAACATAGCGAATGCGCGGTTTGCTGCCTCGGGTAACCAGAATCAGAACCTTTAAGCGCACCGGTAGAATACAAATGGCGAGCCGAAACTGCAAGTTCTCGAAGACAGGGAATAGGATCTTGTGCAAATGCTAGCCGAAGTTGATAAACGACTTGATTTTCGCTCCGCCGACTCGCTGCCAGTAAACTGTCATTATATGTGGCTTCATCGGTGGCTTGGGTGTCCACACTGCAAGTAGAAGTGCGGATTGCAGTATCTTCGGAAGCAAGCACGTCTTCACGCCTCTTGCGCAGCCTAAGTGAGGATGCAGACACAATTGTTCGCTGTTCGACGGCGATAACACAAGTTGCGACGCGTCAAGTCAGTTCACGATCTTTATTGCTTCTTCATTCAGCCCCCGCAGCCACTTTGCCTGTAAGCCAGGCGTCACACTCGCGAGTGTAAGCGATGTGTCGTTCCACGAGGTCTTGCTGCATTGGCCACGCGCTGGCTTTGCGCACAACGTTTCAAGCGATCTCAGCGCTAAAACCCTGGACACATGTAGTCTGAAGCTTCGTTGTGGTTCAGGCACCATGGTGATGCATCGGCGGTGTACTGTACTTGTGTGCGTCCGTGGGGTCTGCTCGAAGTGCAGTTCGCGTCCGAGTGGAACCATACCGGCTGTTGGAGACCGTACGCTGCATGCTTGTTTGGTGGAAGGTCATGCTACGTGATCTCCCAGCGTGTCTTAAAGCACCCGACCCAAGTCGATCGCCAACACGTCGACGTCAGGCTCCACTTGAGCAGGTCGCCATGGCAAAGTGGATGGTTAGTGAGAGGTCAAGCTCGTTGCATCGCCCAGTGCGAGGAAGAAACAGTTTGAGCAGCTCAGTGATCGCTGGCGTCCAATTCCGCACGCTTGTGTCACTTGCCGCACGCATGAACAGTAGTGCAAGACGCTGCCGCTTGAGGTGCGCGGCCAGACGAGATACGCCGAGTCCGCACCATTGCGCCGTCGATGGACGAACTCATTCGGGATAAGCTGTACATGCGACTCACCGCGGTCGTGCTTGCGACTCAGCACGAACCAATTCAGCATTGACTGCCAGGGCTTTACGACTGGTGCCGGAATCAATACATGCTGCGGCTATTGACGCAGACGGGAGAGTATCATCGCCTGTGCTACCAGAAGTCGACCACGGAGCGTGCATGTGCGCCAATCATACGCCTTGAAGCCGACGTAGAAGCCTTGGTCGAGAAACTTGATGATCGTTTCGTCGACCGAAGCCTGTCCAAACGGGATACCGAGGTACTTGACTATCTCCGTGAGGTCGGGCACTTGAGCGCTAGGAAGCTTAGAGCAGTTTTTTTTTTCGATCAAGCGCCAAGAGTACTGTCTTGGACAAGTTAAAATTTGTGCCGGGAATCTCTGCAAAAGTCTTTCACGAGCTCAAGTTGCGAATGCAGGTTTCCGACCGATTTCGCAAGCAGTGTCGAGTTATCTGTAAAGAACACGCTATTGGTTGTATGGTTTGCGTTCAGAT